GATCACCTATCACCACAAATTAAGAAAACAGTTGGGCTGACCTAGAAAAACAATACAGAATCAGCCCTATAGTGTACTCATACATCATGACCTACTTGGTGTAGTTTGCCTGTTTTCTTCCTCTCAGTATGGTTTCTGCTTATCTCCACCCTCCAGTACTCTGCATTGCCTAATCTAGTAAAGAGGTTAGTGTTATTTCTGCATGTGCTTGACACTTTTGGTGCACAGCAAAGAAAAGAAAAAAAAAGACGGTGGCAAAATGCATCCAAATGAGAGAACATTCAGGTTGACCCTCTTACGGGAGATTTTTGAATGCGTTAAGGACCACAACCTAGAAACCCCTTTTTGCTCAGTTTCAAGCATTACGAAAACAGGAAAACCGCAGGCAACTGACTGCAGCCCACAATAAATAGTACACCCTGATTTCACACCAGGCAGCTGTGTGACACTGGCGCTGCAATATAGGCAAATATTGAAGTCCGTTGGCATGGTGGCACACTTTTCTTCCCGTAATCAGACAGAATACAGGAAAGTTTCTTTAGGTTTCTTCCTTCTGGTTAGATTTTAAAATGCCTTTCAACATAATTTGCATATGCAGCTCAGTAGTGTGCATTTGCTTCTTTTTAAACCATGATGACAGGGATTAAGCTCATGTTAGGTTATTGGCCACATCCTCATCAAGTTACTCTGCAGATTACAAAAGCTTCTTTAGTATATCCTGCAAACTACTACTACAACTACTCTTGATCGCTCAGTTTTGCACAGTTATTGTCATTCTGTTTTTTATTCTAAATTGTGGTTGTATGCAGTATGCAACTGATATATATATATAAATACATATATGTATACACCACTATACCACTTATATGCTTTATAAAAGAAATCGCGTGTGCTCTACTTTCAAGTCTTTGAAGATGTGCCATTTTTATCTAACACACACTTCTTCACTTGCATTCGCTTCCTGGTGACGTGCACTACCCAGAATAGAGAATACAATAACCACAACTTGCTCGCTTCAGACCTTAATCCTCCCTTCACCTTAGTCAAATCTTGACCTTATAATTATATGATTTACATGATGAGTACTTTTGTCCCCAAAAGGGAGGCAAGTCCTCACAGTTTGACAGTATGACTGCACAACAGGAGCGCCACAAACACACAGTCATTTTCCAGCATCGCCATCCCTCGTGTCAGTCTTCTTCATGCTCTCACTTCTGTCTCCTCAACTCTTCAAGCCCACCACTCTCATACTTCTCCTTCTCACAATCTCAGTGCCAGTGACATCATGCCGATGTTGCCCCACTGCCCTACTTACAAATGGAGGGAGGGAGCAGTAGAGGAAGACGATAGTGGTGGATAGAGGAGAGGATGAGGCAGATGGCAGCAGGGGGTCTATAAATAGCCTCTCCAGCTGATGGTTACTGTGAGAAGGGGGGGTGGGGGGTATGGATGAAGAAAAGGAAATTTTCATCTCCCCACTTGTGTGATTCACCTTGAAATCACTGTAAACAGTTTAAGCATGTTAAGCTGCGAGTTTTTATCTCTTGATAAAAATGAATAAATCTATAAATTCATTTGTAACTTTCGTTGTTGTTGAGCTGCTGATTTGGATTATTGTATTTGATCAAATAAGAAAAAGGATTACCATTTATTTAGAAAAAGACAAGAACGGAGAAATGAAAAGCACAAAACAAACATTTACTGGGATTGCCCGTGCTGTCGGTGACAGGAGCCTAACCTTTTCTCTTCTGCTTGTGTCTTCCTTAGCGGTGCGTTTTGGCCGTATCCCTAAGAGAGAGAAGCAGCGACTTCTGGATGAGATGCAGAGCTACATGAACAGCCTAAATGAGTCGGCTGCCATGGACATGGACTCCCCTTCAGTGAGGGAAAATCCCACCAGCACAGACGACGGTACCTCAAAAGAGGCCATTGGAGCCATTTCCAGAGCCTATCGTGACATCTTCACCAGCAACAGCAGCAACCAGGAGCGAGCATCCAAGTCAGGCAACATCATCTCCAACAACAACAACAACACATCTCCCTTTTCTCAGCATGGCAATTTTCCTCAAGTTTCATCTCACCCCTCCTCAGCTCAGAGTTATCAGTCTTGCCCAGTTACCCCCGCCAGTGTATGCCCAGTCTCCTCTAATCACAACCAACCTGCATTTAACAATATGGACAGCAATCGGTATACCTATTTAGTGTCATCAAATCAGAATCACAACAAGTCAAATGCTACAATACCTCAAAGGGGAAGCTCTGCCAATCATGACAGTTTCCGCATTGCAGGCAGTACCCAAAATCAGCCCTCCTGCCCATGGAAGTTAGCTCCAGGAGCTAAAGTGCTGGTAAGTACAAGACGCTCGCTGAATTAGGACTGCTGTATGATTCATTATTCGACAAGCTATTTATGACTTGATGTTTTTTGTCTTTTCAAAGGCCTGTCCTCTCAACGCGTGCCCTGTGTCAGGGGCAGAACGCACAAGTCAGGAGATATGGGAGTCTTTCTCTCAGTGTTTCACCCCTGCTGTCAAGGAGGTTGTAGAATTTGCTAAAGGCATCCCAGGATTTCAAGAGCTTAGCCAACAGGACCAGGTCATGCTGCTAAAATCAGGCACCTTCCAGGTAATGACATACATTTTCAGTTATACATTTTGGTAATGATAAATGCATCATAATGTGTCCAGATGTGTTTTTGGCTAAAGCATTTGTCTCACGTTTATCTTTTTGTTCTCGTCTTTTTTCACCATTTCTTGCGTGTTAAGGTTCTGATGGTGAGGTTCTGCACCTTGTTCAATGCTGGGGAGCATACAGTGACATTCCTGAATGGCCAAACTTACCCGCTGCCCACTTTGCGTGCCTTGGGCATGGGCTCTCTGCTGGATGCAATGTTTGAATTCAGTGAGAAGTTGAGTTCTCTGGGACTAGAGCCTGATGAAATGGCTCTCTTCATGGCCGTGGTGCTGGTCTCTGCAGGTTAGACAACAACAGTTACAAATGCTGCACCGCAGTGACAGTTCGATAATGAATCCACAACGTGCTAACTGTTTCAAATCACTCACACCGGTATGCTCTGTGTTCCTCAGACCGTTCCGGCATTTCGGACACGAGGGCCGTGGAGCAGCTACAGGAGGGCCTTATCCGCGCCCTGCGTTCACTGATCACTCGCCGTCGTCCAGATGATACCACCCTCTTCTCCAAGCTGCTTCTGCGCCTTCCAGACCTCCGCACCCTCAACAACCTGCACTCTGACAAACTGTTGGCCTTTCGCATTGATCCTTAAGAAGTCCCCTCTTTCACAGACTGCACAGGAAAAAAGACTATTTCACACAGAAAAATACACAGTACATACACACATACAGATATTATCTTCCAAGGGCAGGACTTCCTTCAATATTGAGGAACAAGGAATTGTGCAATTAATGAGTGTTGTTTTGAAAAGGATAAATGAGGGCTACATACATATTTTGAATTGCTGTCGATCGTCATGCAATGTTTTGAGAGGAAAAAATACAATACAATGAAAACAAACTCATGTACACGCATAAACCTCCACACCTCTTGAGAGACATTGTTCAGTTAAAAAGAAAAAGATTAAATCATTGTGTAGAGTTACTAGCACCGTTCTGGAAAAAGAAAAAAATCATTTGTGCACTTGCTCATTATATCCTGTATACTTAAGAACAAAAGCCAGTTCACTTCTGTTTATTCCGCAAGTCATACAGTATTAACAGACCATCACTAAGCAGCCGCTAAATGATGGATGTTGTATATGAATTTTTTTTTACTTAGGGACCACTGGTGATGATTGACCATGTGTCAGTTTGTGTTTAAGAAAAAGGGAATCTGTATATAATACATAGTGATACCTGAAATGTTAAGGCACTTGTGTGTCACTGTTTTACAAACATGCCATCTGCATTAGTACTGGAATGGGATCCCTGCTTTAACCTGCACATGACAGGATGCAGTCTCTTTCTAAGTTTTGACTAACCTTCCAGAAAACATTTGGCTCACCTTGAATTTAAATGTGTCATCGTGATAAGACAGCACGATTATAATATTATTTCACAAAAACATAATGTCTGTCACTGTACCGTATCACATCTAGACCGATGGAGTGCACATGGGGTTTTGTAGTTCCTGTGTTTATTTTTTGTTGCTGTAAATATTATGTTACCCAATGTTGATGTATCAATTATTGAACTGATATGATGGATCAGACATATGAGTTTGGTGTAATGAAGAAGAATGTAATGACCTTCCTGTATTTGGTGGGGATCTGGCTATGCCAAGGGAGCTTTGCTCAGGAGAATGTGTAGTAGGGATTCTCAAACAGCTTAGACACTCCTCCTGCTATATTAGATGATGTAACAAACCAGCATAATCCCTGAAATCACCAGCATTCACTCCACATGCACCCTTCCTCTGGCCCCAATGTTTGTCATACAAACACAAGAAATATTTTTTTTTGGGTGAGAGATCTAATTTGATTGGTCATCTCACTGTTTGCTTGTTTGATTATGGCTGATTGAGCACATATTGTACATTTTGTACATTTTTCTTCCTAAATAGAAATGATACAATGATATAAAGTTGGAATTATGTATTATTCTGCCTCTGTGTCTTTTTTGTAAACATTTGTGTGGGAAATATCAGTTTAGAAAAGAAACATAGGCTATGTTGAGTAATTAGGCCCGTAGTTGTGCAACACTGTACACTGGCAGTATGCTGTGAGTGTGTTAACCAAGTTTATACATTGTGCAATTATGTGAACGTTAGATAATTTATTGCTAGCAGACTTCATTAATAAATTAGGCTATTATTACATTAGCTGTAAGCAACTTTATAGTACCTATGTTGACTATGTTGACTGTCAATTGCAATGGAAAAGATAGATTATAAATTTGCAATACAAGATGTCTAGAAGCACAAACAACCTTCTCCCCAACAAAGTGAAGTAAGGGTGCCACCTTCTGGTAGAATAATGTACAGCGGATCCCGGAAGCGGATGGTGTGCTAGCGAGTGCTCACTTCCACGTATCATTTGCTGTCACTTAATCGCTTCACATGCCGTCATCGTTTTAGCCTCGGTAATAATAATATGGGACCACTGTTAAACGTTACGGTAAGCTCTGTCACATAAAAATGATAGAATAGAGCAAGCGGGGGGGGGAAGCCAGCACGAGCTGTTCATATTAGTGGCAGGTTAGCTCACAGGCTAGCCTTAGCTAAACAATAATAGCATGCAGGTCCATCTGTTTGCTGATAATTATCTGCTTGTTTTGAGCGACTTAACTGTCGTAAGTTAGCGGTTTAATCATTGACGTGGGTAAGATTGAAGTTACGGTGCCATATCTACCTGGAGCTGTTGTTGTTGTTGTCAAAATGTTTTGGGTTTTTCCAAGTTAAGCAAGAATGACGATGCCGAGTTCCTGACTCATGAACACTCGCCTGTCTGTAATAATTTGGCCACTTTGTCTGTCCGCAGGCGCTGAGAAACAGAAAGAAAAGTGCTGCAAATCCCCCGAGACCTCAGCTTTGACCTCCAGTGGGAGCATTTCATGACAGCATGTTGGTGACAGCGTATCTTGCCATAGTTTTTCTGCTTGCCCTGTGCGTTGGCCTCGAGCTTACGGCACGCCGCGTCACCCCACCTCAGTCCACCCCTACAGCTGTAGCCAACCCAGCTTTCCGTGGCTTCCAGACAATATTCCTCAGGGCATACCTTCTGGCTTTGTGGGCAGACTGGCTCCAGGGTCCTTATCTCTACAAACTTTACCTCCACTACAGCTTCCTGGAATCCCAAATAGCCATTTTGTATGTATGTGGTCTGGCCTCTTGTGTTCTCTTTGCTCCTTTTGCAGGCTGGCTCCCTCAGGCTTTGGGCCGCAGGCAGACCTGTCTTCTGTTCTGCTTGTCATACTCTGCTTGCTGTCTCACCAAGCTTTCCAGAGACTACTTTGTTTTGATTGTGGGCCGCATCTTGGGGGGACTGTCCACATCCCTGCTAGCAACCACATTTGAAGCCTGGTACGTGCACCGACATGTTGATGTCCATGATTTTCCCAAGGAGTGGATCCCCAGCACCTTCACCAAAGCTGCTACCTGGAACCACGGACTCGCAGTGGGTGCAGGGCTGGTGGCTAACTTACTGGCTGAGTGGCTCCACCTTGGGCCAGTAGCCCCCTTTCTCCTGGCAGTCCCCTGTCTGGCTTGCTGTGGCTGGGTAGTCCTGACTGACTGGGGCAAAGAAGAGGCTCAAGGGGTTCCTGAAGTAGACAAACAGACTCTGCTCACTGGCACTCCAAATGGAGGTGTGACCCATTTGTCTGCAAAAGCACGGTTCTCACGCAGCTGCCACGAGGGGCTGCGCTGCCTACTGTCAGACAGGAGAGTCATGCTCTTGGGGGGAGTCCAGGCTCTGTTTGAAAGTGTCCTCTACATTTTTGTTTTTCTGTGGACCCCAGTACTGGACCCTCATGGGCCTCCGTTAGGAATAGTCTTCTCTTGCCTGATGGCTGCCAGCATGGTTGGGTCCTCGCTATACCGCCTAGCCACCTCAACCCAATACCGTCTACAGCCTGGGCACGTACTCTGCCTTGCTGTGCTGATGGCCTTCTTCTCTTTTTTTATGCTAACCTTTTCCACTGCCCCAGGACAACCTAGACCTCATGAATCCTTTCTGGCCTTCCTGCTCCTGGAGCTGGCCTGTGGTCTCTATTTCCCTGCCTTCAGCTTTCTTCAGGGCAGGGTGATCCCAGAGGAGAAGCGGGCCGGTGTGCTGGCCTGGTTCCGGTTGCCGCTGCACCTGCTGGCCTGCTTAGGGCTGCTGGCCCTCCACGGGGAGGTATCAGGAACAGGTGGAGGGGAGGGTGGTGGGGGCACCAGACACATGTTTGGAGGCTGTGCCGTCATGATGCTGGCAGCTCTGATGGCTGTGGTCAGTCTTTTCACCCTGGGTAGAAATGACACAGATCTGAGACTGGAGGGAAACAGAGCAGAATGGGAAATGTAACAAGTCGATCAGCCACATGTCCACTTTTGCTTGTCTGGTTTAAAATGTATTATCTCAGTTTTGTCTAACTGAACCTAGAGACATCATATTCAACCAGACTACTTTTAGGTGCACATTTTGCCAAAAGCAGAGTTGAATGAAATTGTGGGGTGTTTTGGTAAAAATGTTTAACATTTTATGTCATGTTGATTCCTTATTGTTTATTGGTTACAGACTTTTGTTAATGTCTTTGGGAACATTTGTCAATGAAACTGTTGAAAACTTGGCTGATACTTTTTGTATCAGTCCACTAATTATTCCAGATGAAGTGTTTCTGTCTGTAGGGATTTCACCTGCCAGAATCCCAGGAAGATTTGGTGATGCTGAGCCTTCACCTAATGCTTAAAGACAAATCTGAAAAGATTTTACTTAAGAGACCTGAATGGATATTTGAAATTAGGTGATGGCTAGTTAGTAGACTAGCAAATGAATGTTAGTGTCTTCTATATTTCTTTTATTTCTTCTGCAGTGCATTGGTTCCTGTATGTTGAGCAGGATCTGTTTTGTTTTTTGGGGGCGGGCGGGGTGTCCTTTAAACCAGGCAAGGAGCAGCAGCTTTACTTTGAATGTCTTTCCTGTGTCATCTGCAAAATGCTCTGTTTTGATGTTCTTTATATGGCTCTTTGTGTTACACTTTTAAATAAAAGTGTTTGTAATATGTTAAATTATATTGGGAGGGAGTTCTATTTTGTGGCATATGGTTGTTTTTATAACATTTATTCAACAGGAGTTTACAAATCATTATTACAAATTATATAACATGTCTATTTTGATGTTTTTGAGAAACCGCTTTGATTTGAGTTGTCTTTATTAAAAAATCTCAATTCAGATTCAGTCAGAATCGTTTTAGCTGTTAAAAATACTGATGGTGTGATTTGAATGTCATTGTCAGATGTTGACTAAAAGCATGTTTGACAGCATTCAGATGCAAGAAGAAGAAAGAAACTCTTAACTGGTTTTGAAAATCTGAAAATGTCACTGTACCCTGCAAACCCCCGCTGTCCTGGTTCTGCTGCAGACCATATTTCCAGATTCGTCTGGACTTCTGTCCTCATAACGCATCATGCAGAGATCCGTACTCCCTATTTTCCCCGGTGCTGTGGTACAGTCCCAGCGTTTCTCTATGGTGCAACTTCATCTGGATGCTGCTAGAACATCCCTGGGTGGGTGAGGGAGGGGGGTGTCTGCTCGAGTCTGAGCGTTGTTTTTGGATTACATCACTGTATCGTCAGAGGTTGGGTATTCAGTCTAAAGAGGCGAGAAGACCACATCAGTCCCAGTCCTTTCTCACAGCTGTCAGTCTTAGTCTAGCCAGACTCCGAGAAATATCCCAATAAAGAAGACCCCACCGCGCTATTGTGTGTTTGGAATACGCACCGGGGCTACCTACTGCTGGACAACACACAGGCATCATGACGCAGGGCAAGGTATGAGCTTTAATGTCGTTATTCAGTTAGGACGTCGAAATCAATATATTTTTTAATTTATTTACTGTGAATATTTTCCCAACAGTTAATGTGAGTGCCTACCCAATCCATTTAGTCCCATTATTATCAGGTGCGTAATGGCAATGCGGACCTGTAGATGAAACTGGCTTTCGTCATTTTCAGTAATCATAGAATTACTTGAATAACTAATTTTGCGCGATGCACCGTCACATTTTCTGCAGGACTCGAGCGCACGGGGTTTCTCATTAAGTTAATCTACTTAATTTATTTTTTTCTTTTCATATTCAAAGTATTTTTCACATTTTGTGCGCCGTGTAAGTGATACTTTAGCAAATGCGTCACATCACCATGACAACCTTTATTTGTGTAGACCTGGCTGCATGGTTACATCCAGGCGGTTACATCAGTCATTGAGGATTCTGGATTATTATTGTTTTAAGCTTAACACTGTGCATCTTTTTTCTTTAACATCGCCTGTCTGTTATGTTTTCCAGACTAACGATATAGATACGAATGATCCCCGTGGGTGTTTCTTATCTTTAAATATAGATCTTGACAGCTGAAGGCTTCATGCGCGTAAACCTGTCAATCAAAACCTTTTGTAATTCGTTATAATTACAGTTATTAAAACTAAAAATGGGTTAAAACTTGACGTACCCCACTGAAATTGTGACAAGGCAGCCTGACGTGTCCGGTGAAGTGTCAATTATTAAGAGCAGCTGCTATTTGAGCTGAGGGTTAGATCATCGGTACTATGAGCTGAGGTTTCATTTAAATTTAAAGCACCAAATTAAACTTTAATGGGAAAGTGAACATTTTACACTTATATAAGCTGTTGATGATAGCTGTTTACTATTTTTATAAACAATATTTATGTTTTTGTTATCATTATACATTTCTTTAGTCATTACTCCAAATCTTTGGCGCAGTTCATCCTGGTCTAGTACAACACCTATCAAAAATCTACAAGTCCTCACTTTCATATCAATATGTATTTTGTTGACATTAAAAACTACAAATTAAAACCCCTTTACCCCAGTCATATGTGATTCCAGATATGGAACCATTTGCACTCAAGATTTAATATTAAATAAAGAGGCCAAACATAGGAGATAGCCAGAAAAAAAATGGTTTGCTATTCGTTGAAATAGAAGTGTTAAGTTGAAGATAACAAAGTGTTCATCTTGTATCCAACCAGCTGGCACTTGCAAACAAGACCACCAACGGCTCTTCCAGTGGAGAGGCCTTGGTGGCGCCTGCACCTCCGAGCTATGAGGAAGCTACTGCAGGTATGGCTGCTTTTTATCCCTCAAGTCATCTTAAAGAGTCTTCATCTTACATATACTCTTAAATATTTGCCAGCTGTTGAATTCATGTGGTAGTGATGGGATTACATAAGCAAATATTGTGATGATCCCTTTAGGCGTCAGTGCTCCTTGCTACAACGATGTTGAGATGCTGACAGAATTCAACTGGGATGATCGCAACATCAGGAGGGTCTTCATCCGAAAGGTATGAAAAAGCTTAATTACCTAAAATGCTTACTGATGATAACACTGTGACTGTGAATGCAGCGCATCACTGATAATGTGTTGATCAAGTGCTTTTATATACTTTATAGGCCAGTACATAGAACAAATACTTTCTTTCTTTTTTAAGGTGTACAGCATCTTGATGATCCAGCTCTTGGTTACTCTCGCGATCGTGGCTCTGTTCACATTCTGGTGAGCGTCTGATGAAAGCAGATTTTTTTTCCAGTATCCTCTCATGTTGAATTGTATAAGCCTCGAATGGTAGCACACTTACCTGAGCCACTCTCTTACAGTGACCCTGTGAAGGACTACATTCAGACTAATCCTGGGTGGTACTGGGCCTCTTAGTAAGTAACACCATCCCTCAGAAGTGTACACTTATTTTGTGTTGGTGTCTCTTCTGTCTAAAGACATATCAAACAATATTCTTGTTGTTTTGCAGCGCTGTTTTCTTTGTCACTTATCTGACCTTGTCTTGCTGCTCTGCACCAAGGTGAGGCAGAAGTTATCAAAAAGGAAATGCACATCATATGGAAACAGTTCACATCACATCAAATATTGAAACACTGGTCTTTGTTTACCCCTACAGGAGACAGTTTCCATGGAACCTGATTCTGCTTGTCATCTTCGTAAGTATATCGCTGATATGTGTTATCTTTTTAATAAATATGACCTTGCTTACACATGGATGGGATTCTCTGAACTTTTTTTTTTATAGCAGTAAGATATAACTCATTATTTTGTGCATTTGAAAGCTGACTTGCAAGTTAACTCTGGAAATCTAACAATAAATATATAGAGGTTTTTTTAAGGTGATGTTATTTGTTATGCTGTTATTCGCATATAATGCCTATATTTTCCGACTGACTGTCCTATGTTACAGACTCTCTCGCTCTCCTACATGACAGGGATGTTGTCCAGGTATATTTTGCATGCCTTCTTTAGATTGTCTTCTTAATGGATTTTATATTCAAATAATTATAGCCAGCAGTGTATTTTCTTTACAGCATGTCAGTTTAAAGTTAGCATACTTTATTTATTTTAGCAGAATAATCTGATCTGTGCCAGTGCTTTTTAGGCCACCTAAAAAAAAGTATCCTGAACCCCCCACCCTGTGGTAACAATTGCATAACATTTTACACGTTTGCTGTTTTAACAGCTTTTATAACACCAAGTCAGTGGTGATGTGTCTGGGCATTACAGCAGCAGTCTGTCTCCTGGTCACAGTCTTTAGCTTTCAAACCAAGGTGAGAAAACCGAAATGCTCTTCTTTCTGTGCACTTGTGAATCTAACTTCCCTGAATCACCTTTTCCTACATGTTGACTTACATATGTCTGGTTTGATGTGCTTTCTTCTTTGCAGTTTGATGTGACCTCATACCAAGGTGTGCTTTTTGTCTTCTGCATGGTGATGTTCATCTCTGGCCTGGTGCTGGCCCTTGTCCTCCCTTTCCAATATGTAAGTGTGATCAAACTAACCCAATAATCGCATAATTTTTCTGTCAGGTAAACACGAGTTAGCTGATTGTACCAGAACAGCCGGGATTTAAGACACCAGACACAAATTTGGACACAACTTCTCATTTAAGGTTTTTTCAGTTGTTATTATTTTCTGTCATGTAGAACAGTAGTCTACTGAAGAGATTACAAACATGTGGAATTCGGTGGTTAATAAAGAAAAAATAGTTTCACATTTTAGATTCTTTAAAGCACCTTTTGCTTTGACAGGAGTTATGACACTATTAACATTTCCTCACCCTTCTGCATGAGGTAGATACCTGCTATTTTCCGCAGTATAGCTAACTCTCAGACATCCTTTGACACTAGTAAAAAATCTTCTCGACGTATTTTTAGACTACCTAACCATTGTGTCTTAAAAAACAATAAATAACTACACATTTCTTTTTATTTGTTTTAGCAGTTTAATACAGTAGTCAAATAGGGCTGGTTGTTGTTTTGCTTTTGCTTAAATCTACAGTATTTAAAATAGTAAAAATGAATAAAGTCCCTCAAATGAGTACATGTTTTCAAACTAATACAGACTCAACTCCAAATTGAGAACATATAATAAAATATAATGGTATTTCAGCTGATTGCTTATTGTAAATTAGTAAGTGGAATCACAACTAATAAATGAATATGTGTCATTCAGGTACCCTGGCTGGATGGTGTCTATGCTGTGTTGGGAGCTATACTGTTTACCATGGTGAGCATATAAAGAGATGAGCTATTACTAATAGGCCCAGTCACATTTAATAGAACACATGCAGTAGGTGCCTACAAACAATATAAAAGTTGAGTTATTTGTTTTTGCTTTTTTAAAAATTATTATTAATATGTGTTGCAGTTTTTGGCATTTGATACCCAACTCCTTATGGGGAACAAGCGGTACACCATGAGTCCAGAAGAATACGTCTTCGCCACTCTCAACATCTACCTGGATATCGTCTACATCTTCTCCTTTTTCCTCCAGATCTTTGGAACAAAGCGAGAGTAAACCTGTCGACAAGAGCTGCACCAATTACAGAAATGTAGTCAAACATAAAAAGAGTCTTTTAAGCTGTTGTTAAAAGTGGTGATGAGGCTCCCAGTTAACAGCTTTATTTATTTATTTTGCCTTATACAGATGAGGTTGTCAATACTTTGTACAAGTAAACACCAATTTCTGGGGTATGTGAGTATTCACACATAAAATGTCTATAACCTTTCCATCGTCTCTAGCATGTTTGTGAAGCCATGAGCCAAACTGTGGCCTATCACCCAGAAACACTCAATAATCAGTGATCATCTTCATTTCATGTAGCGTTATCAGACTGTGAGTG